GTGTGTGTGTGTGTGTGTGTGTGTGAGTGAGTGTGTGTGTGTGTGTCTGTGTGTGTGTGTGTGTGTGTCTGTGTGTGTGTGATAATTATACATGCTGAGTGTGTGTGTGTGTGATAATTAAACATGCTGAGTGTGTGTGTGTGTGTGTGTGTGTGTGTGTGTGGTGCATGTGGTTGATGTTGACAGCAATGAGGATTGTTAATCAGCGATGACTCTCACAGTGAATGATGTTGTTTTAATGGATATCAGCGGTGTTTGTGTGTTTGTGAACCGCGTCACCCAGACTGCGGCGGTACGAGGCTTTATGCTGGAGGGGCCGATTGGGGCTCCGCAGGGTACTCGAGACACACTTAAGAGAGAGCAGAGTCAGACAGCCAATCAGAGCGCAGATCCATTCATGCTGGAAATATGGTGCCTCACACACAGACACACACACACAGACCCCCCTCCCCCCCCAAAACACACACACACACACACACACTGTTTTGTATCTGCCGTTCCACACTGACCCTGGATCAGCTGTTGCTCTGTGAGCTCATGAAGTTCTCTGTTCCTCTGAAGCATCAGATGTTTCTCCTGCAGTTCTCAAATGAATGTAAATATGAGTGTGGAGCAGCTGAGACTGTGTGAGTTCAGACTGAGATCTGTGACAGCAGTGTATTGTAATGTATTTGAACCCCCCCCCCCCCCCCCCCAAACACACACACACATGCACACACACACTGTTTTGTATCTGCCGTTCCACACTGACCCAGGATCAGCTGTTGCTCTGTGAGCTCATGAAGTTCTCCGTTCCTCTGAAGCATCAGATGTTTCTCCTGCAGTTCTCAAATGAATGTAAATATGAGTGTGGAGCAGCTGAGACTGTGTGAGTTCAGACTGAGATCTGTGACAGCAGCAGAAACTGAAGCAGAAAACTCTGCTGTTTCTCATGTGATGTGGAGAAAGGGCTGAGCCGGTAATGAGATCTGCTGTGATTCTGAGAATCTAAAGTCGTGGAGATCGGCCTCATTGTCCAGAGTGATGAAGAAAACACTTTGAGCTGGATTATGTTTCAGCTCGTGCTCTTTTGTGCTGATTGTGGTGTGAGCAGGAGAATAGAGACGCTCTGAAAGACAGATCGGCCTCCATTGTCACGGGCCACAACCCTATAAGAGACGTCAAAAGAGCTTCCTAATGACGGCCATAAACTCTTTCCCATCAGCACATCAGCAGGACTCACACAACATCTGCTGCGCTCAGATCCATGAGTCCTGAGCAGTGCATCTCTATGAACACAGCAGTTCTCCGGAGATATATACACTGTCATTACTTGAAAATATTTTCATTACTTCAAATAAAATAAACATGAACTGCAATAAAATGAAATTCAAAAATTGTTATTAATATTTTTTTTCACATAATTTCAAAATATTTCAGCTAGTTTCTCATTTCTTATTTTAATGTAGTTTAAATTGTACTAAAATTATATAAAACTGGAAAAAATTATAAAAACTGTATAGACATATATATTTTTTTTTTATTACAATAAAATCACTAAAATTTAACTTAAATTAAACTGAAAACAAAAAACAAATACTGATTCATAATAATAATAAAATAGGCCTATATAATAGTATCATAATGATACTTAAATAACACTGATATACAGTTGTTGTTGTTGTTGTTTTTACATTATTTGGCACTATATCCAAAGCTTGCTTTAAATACTTAATTTTATTCTCTCTTACTTTTTATTTTACAATTTTCCTGTTTTCTGTTTGAGAATCTCTGTTTAAAGGCACTATATGAAATAAAGTGAATTAATATTTTTATCATTTGGCGTTTATATACTATAACAGTTTGTCTGCATGGAGGAATGAGTTTAAAACCTGGTTTTTAAATGTTTGCAGTAGTTTTTTTTATTATATATATTGTATTTTACATGTTTATGCAATTGGCACTTTTATACAAAGCTTGATTTCAATACCTGGTTTTATTATCTAATTTTGGATGTTTACTTTTTGTTTTAAAGTCCTTCTGTTTTTCCGAGAAGCTTTATTAAGGTGCCATATAATAAAGAGTTAAGAATTATTATTATTATTATTATTTTATTAAAGCAACTTGCATTGCATTCATATTTTCTTTTTCAAACCCATGATGTTGAAACTACAGGAATGCCACTTGTTTGTCATTTTCAAGTAATGAATAAGAATAACACACACACACACACACACACTCACACTCGCACTCGCACTCGCACACACACACACACACACACACTCACACACACACACACACACTCACACACACACACACACACACACACACACACACACACACATAAGCGCTCTGCTTCTGTAGCATGTGCTGAACTGTGAGGACTGAGAGCAGGAAATGTTTAACCTCCATTGAGTCAAAGACAAAAGCTGGGGTTAATGTGGCTGTGAGGGCGGGCCGCTGGAGCTCGGGCTCAGTCGCTGCTGACGCTGCCGAGGAACACACATCAGCTTCTGACTGCTGGAGTATCACTCATCCAGGTCTGTCTTCATCGCTCTTTCACTCTTGGAATGAAAGCGTCTGCTGAATGCATGAATGTGAATCTGCTGGAGATGTTGGGGTTATGAAGTGCACTGGACTCGGATGATTTCAGGCTTTAGTGAAGTGATGTTGTTCTACAGTTGAGTGCAGAGGTTTGCAAGATGTTTATCCTTTAAAAAAAAGAGAGAAATCATAAATATTGCGTTGAGTTGTTTACCTCTGTAACCGAAATGATCCTGTTGAAGTTTCTGTCCTTTGGTTCTTCTGATGTGTGTGTCGTCCTGGGCTGCGTTTCCCAAAAGCCTAAGTTGATCGTAGCTGCTTTGGTGGCAATGGGTCTACCATCAACCTAGGCTTACAATGCTTTTGGGAAACGCAGCCCTGATTGTTCAAGAGTCTGTTTGTTCTGTGGCTCGTGAAGCTTCAGGAAAATTGCACATTTTTTGTTTTTCCAGCATCCTTTGCACATTTAAGAATTGAGCATGAGGAAACGAATGAGCAGCATTATTGTTGCAAATGAATATTTTGTTGTGTGGGAACTATTAAATGTCTCTTTAGTCTCAAGTAGGACTAAAGGAAAACAAGGTATTTTATCTCTGATGTTTGTGTGAATTCTGAAATCTGTATCTGTGTGTTGTACAGTATGTTTGTCTTTATTAAAGCTCATAGATTGATAGTGTTGGGGGTAACATGAGTTACATAATCAGATTACTTTTTCAAGTAACTAGTAATGAGTTACTTTTTAATTTAACAAAAATATCTGAGTTACATGTGTTTGTGTTTCCAGGTTCTCCTCATCTGGACACTGAAGCACATCTTCTCCGGTGAGTGTCTGCTGCTTTATTACTGAGCTCATGTGAGGTTTCTCTGTGTCTCTGACGGACTGGAGACGTGCTGTTATCTGACTCTGTTTGTGTGAGATCCGCAGCTCTGATGTTTCCCGATCAGTCAGTGACTGTGAAGCTCTTCCGATCGATAGAATCCATTGCTTGCTACTTACGAGTTCAGAGACATGATTAGGTTGAGATCCTTTAAGTCGTCTTGTTTTTAAAACACACAGGAAGTCGATTTAGTTCTAATGGATCAGAATGAGTCTCGATGCTTTAAATGTGTTTCACTGCTCTGCTGAATCATGGGGAATTTAGTCTGTCGTCTCATAAATGGCTTAATTTAAGCAAGACTTACCACTGTTCTTCATCCAAGCACAAAACCTAACCTGGACAGCCAACAGTTCATCTAGAACAGCTTGTTTGCACTGCGATTCTTTAATTGAGAAAAACTTATTAGAGACAAATTAGCACTCAGAAGTGAGATCACCCTGACAAAACCTACTTTTTGGAGGTTCGTTTGCAATATCAGTATTAATATAACGCAAACCAACTGTCCTTTGATTGTAAAAATACAGCATGTTTTCTGTTAGGATTAGATTATAGTATTTATAACTAGCTGTATAAAAAAGCAATAGAAGTTTATGAATGTCCCAATTTAGAAAGCTACATATAATATAATATAATATAATATGATGCAAAACCACAATTTCACACTAATTCATGTAGACAAACTATTCTGGATGTGCGTGTGTGTGTGTGCGTGTGTGTGTGTGTATACCTACTTAACCATATTTTGCGGACAACTTTGTACCCAAAAGTGAGCTAAACCTGACAAAATCTCCAAAAACTTACCTTGTGTGTGTGTGAGAGAGAGTGTGTGTGTGTGTGTGTGTGTGTTTTCTTGTCAGCAGACGCAGAGAAGTATAAGAAGTGTGTGTTTGCAGCAATATGCTGACACAGTTATGACAAATGCCATGAATAAACATGAGTCATCAGCATATAAATGAGCTGTAGATGTGTTTGCGTCTCTGAGATCAGTAACATGCCGCTTTGCTTTGACGTCATTCATAAACGTCAGCTGGCATCTGATTGGCTGTGGCGTCGCTCTGAGGGTCGGGGGCGGATCCTGTGATAGATTTCAGGAGCTGTGAGATGTGTGCGATTCACATCCTCTCGCTGATGATTGGACAGATGATCTGTAGTGAACGTGAGCAGACGGTTCGAGCGGATCGGTGTCATATGGTGAGGAGGCTCTCTACAGGTGAGCGGCCAATCAGATTTAGCAGCAGGTCTGAGATCAGCGGTCATATGGGCGGCAGATGCTCACAGCGTCTCAATGAACACCTCCGTATCTGCTCACACTGCGAGCACAGTATGCGCACTTCATTATTCTGAATCTTCACGGCTGCAGACTGCTTTACGAGCTACTGTTCAGCGTTCGCTGTTAGTATGCACTACATAGTGTACTGTTAGTTGAGATCATATGAGTTTTCCATTTTGTGCTTTGTGCACTGCTGATTATCAGAAAACAGGACATTAGAAAATCTCAGCTGATTTAAACAAACTACATGTGCTAATTAACAATTAACTGTAGTGTGTTATTTGATATTAGTTAATATATTTTAAATGCACTAAACTGCAACATCATCATTATGCAATTATACAATTAAAGTCATTGTAGACTCTACTTATGTGGGTCAAAAACACTCTAAAGTTCAGCTAATTGCATTTAATATAAATGTAAACTTTTTTTTTTCTTCGTTTAATTGCAAATAACATGCAGTTAAACGTCTACATTCAGTACACACTTAAGTATATTCCTTCTGTAATAAGTGTTGTTTTTAAGCATGCTTCTTTTTGATTCTGTGGTTTCCCTGATCTCAGTGGACTGTGTGTTGTAGCTGATCATTTAACACAACAACCCCTGTGTGTCTCTGAATGTGTGCGTTCAGCTCTAGCTTTGGCATTGTGACGATGATCTGCTGCAGTGCATTCTGGGTGACCTGATTGACTGGTCTGAATAGCTGTGCTTCTGTTGACCTCCATAAACCACAGAGCTGTGGATCATTGCAGACGGAGGCCGCATCGAGTTTGCTGTCAGATCCTGCGTGATTTGTGTAGATCAATTTCACAAACTGAGCGGCACAAGTGTGTGTCTATTAGTGTGTGTCTATTAGTCAGAATTGAAAGATGTAAAACTGTATGAAGTCGCAATTACGACTTTTTTTCTCAGAATTGTGAGTTAAAGGGATACTCCACCCCAAAATGAAAATTGTAATTAATCACTTACCCCCATGTCGTTCCAAACCCGTAAAAGCTTCGTTCGTCAGTAACGAGAATACTTTTTGTATGGAAAGAAAACAAAAATAATGACTTTATTCAACAATTCGTCTCCTCTGTGTCTCTCCGCATCACCGTAGCTCCATTTTGGAGAATATCCGCTGAACACAAGTGGAAAGAAAACAAAAATAATGACTTTATTCAACAATTCGTCTCCTCTGTGTCTCTCCGCATCACCGTAGCTCCATTTTGGAGAATATGAGCTGAACACAAGCAGCGTACGCTCTTCTGTGTCAGCAGCGACACAAGGATACATTTTCTATGTGTATTTATGCTTTGATTTGAATGAAAACAGTGCATCCTTGTGGCGCGGCTGACACAGAAGAGCGTACGCTGCTTGCATTCAGCTCATATTTTCCAAAATGGCGCTGATGCGGAGAGACACAAAGGAGACGAATTGTTGAATAAAGTCATTATTTTTGTTTTCTTTCCATACAAAAAGTATTCTCGTCGCTTCATAACGTTACGGTTGAGCCACTGATGGCAGATGGACTATTCTGACGATGTATTTCATACTTTTCTGGAGCTTGACAGTGTAAGTTACTTGGCAGTCAATGGGACAGTCACAAGCCTCCCGGTTTTCATCCAAGCTATCTTAAATTGTGTTCCGAAGACGAATGAAGCTTTTACGGGTTTGAAATGACATGGGGGTAAGTGAGTAATGGCAAAATTTTAATTTTGGGGTGGAGTAACCCTTTAATATCTCGCAGTAATTGCTAAATGTAAACTCAAAATTGCAAAAAAAATTATTGCAATCGCAAGATGTAAATTCTGTAAAGTAGATGTAAAGTAGTTATGAGTTATTAATTGTCAGGTGTAAAATCCGAATTCTGAGAAAAAAAACCCTAAGAACTACAAGATGTGAACTCGCATTTGCAAGATGTAAAGTCGCAACAAAGTTGCAATTCGAGTTTAGAAAAAGCCAGAGTTGTGAAATAAGAATTTGCAGTAGGCCTACCTTTTTTGCTTTTTTTTATAGGGTGGAAACAAGCTTCGGTAACAGTCAGATACAGGTGCAGTGGTGAAGGAGCAGGTGTAATGTGGGGTGTTTGTGTGATGGGTCAGCGGTCAGTCGAGTGTCGTCTGATCGGGTCACTGCTGAAGACGACACACAGAAATGAAGCTCAGAGCTGGGCTTTAACATGTTACCATTCCACTGAAAGATAAAGTGCATCAGTTACAGGTCATAATGATAAAATAACACTAGGCCAGTTTTCTTGTGACTCTGATAGAGTGAAGCTGAGATGTGTTGTGAAGGATGGACCTGTTGATTGTGCTGGTGTTTTGGGGCTCTGAGCTGCTCATCCGTGACTGATTTTCTCACACTTTGAATGGGGTTTTGTTCGTAGCTGTGCTCTGGGATCGTAGGGTCGTGGCTTTTGAGGGCAATGAAGGGGAAATGATTTCTATTCACCTGCAGCGCTTGAATGAGGAGAAAAGAGCCACACAATCACTGCATCTGATGGGAAATATCCTACATCTATATCTCTCACTCTTTCTATATATACACTAGCAGTTTGGAATCAGTGAGATTTGTTAATGCTTTTGAAAGAAGCATATTAGAATGATTTCTGAAGATCATGTGACACTGAAGACTGGAGTAATGATGCTGAAAATTCAGCGCTGCATCACAGGAATAAATTACATTTTAACAGATATTCACATAAAAAACTGTTAGTTTAAATTGTAATAATATTATAATAATGTAATAACAGTTTTAATGTTTTTACTGTATTTTTGATCAAATAAATGCAGCCTTGGTGAGCAGAAGAGACTATTTTCTTTTTAAATATCCTAATTATTACAATCTTTTGACAGGTAGTGTACATATACATACACACAATGCATTTTGACACTTAAAAATGAGTAACACGCTCGTTTGAGTTTAGTCAAGTCAAGAGACTCTCATTGCCGAGTCTGATTTTCTTGCATTTAAATAATGCACTTTATTATAATGTCAGATTATGAAATTATATCTAAAGATGCACTTAAATAGGTAAAAATAATCACATAAGTTCAGCTACATACATTTGATTTAACTTTAATGCATCTTGAATGCTAGCACTCGTTTCTCACCCGTCACGCAGTTCGACACTGAAGGTGAAAGTCTTACATTAAATGTTCTTTCATCATCCCACACAGTTGGGTGTCAGGTTGGTGTGTTACAGGCACAATAGAGGCCGAGCCGGACGGGATCGTACACTTTACATTCCGCGGACACAATGAGCATCTTTATGTGTGTGTGTTCAGAGGGACTGTGGAGTAGGAGTGAGTTCTTCTCCAGAGGAAACCTTTGAGACGAGCAGGTGGAGTCTGAAGAGAGGCTTTTCACAAGAGCACAGACTCAATAAGAGGCTTCAGTCCTTCACACACACACACACACACACACACTCTCACACACACACACACACACACACACACTTGCATTTGTGGTTTACGGAGACTCTCCATAGGCGTAATGGTTTTTAGACTCTAAAAAAATTATTTTCTATCGCCCTACACCAACCCTACCCCTAAACCTACCCTTTACAGAAACCTATGGGCAATTTTTAAATTTCATAAAACACCGTTTTGTATGTTTTTTAAGCCTTTTGTTTTACGGGGACACAGGAAGTGTCCTCATAAACTATGTTTACATTGTAGTCAGTTAAAGG